GCCCCAGTGATGAACTGAGCAGCTTTGCTGGAATACCCAGGCAGGCATTGCCTCATAACCCATGAGCTCTCTGTGAAGGAGGGAGCCCTGACTCTCCCATCACTCCCCATGGCTCCAGCACCAGCCACAGCTGTCCATTCATCAAGCACTGCACAAATGGAAATTTAAGGGCTCATGGCTCTATAACACAGAAAACAATTCCCTGTGCGTTTTCACGGCGCTGTAATTTATTGGATCAGAAATGATGAATGGCAGCAGGAGGGGGCAGGGCCAGCGCACAGGGGAGTGCTGATGCACTGGGAAGCAGAGACAGAGAGGAGCAGCTGAGGGCAGGGAGTGGGAAAGCCCCCAGGATTGCTGCTGCATGGGGCTGGGGGAACACCACCACCCACAAACACTGATTTCCTCCCCACCATTCAGGGCAGGATGTGCAGCAGAGGCTTCTGCAAGAAACACCCACATGAGGAAGAAGAGAGCTGGGCCCTGTGCTCCTGAGAGGTGGCACAGCCTCACTCTGCCCAGGCTGCCTTTACAGATTCAAGGCACAGGCAAGAAACGGAAAAAAAGCTCCATCCCTGGGGAAAGAGGAGCACCTGGTGGAAAAACAGAGTGTAAACGTGAGCAGGACAGCTCCTCCCCCCTGTAATCTCCCAGCTCTGGAGTTTGAGCTGCATTCAGCAGTAATTGAAACCAGGCTCTTTAACACAGGTGCCAATTACTGCCTGTTAAAGCAAGGAGCACTGATAGATACAGCAATTACACAGCTCTGCAAGGCTGGAGAGCACAAAATGACATGGAAGGGGCTCCTCACGCCACTGTAGGTGCTGTAGGACAGCTCTCTGCCCCAGCAAACCTCTTGCAGTGTTAGACTTGGCAGGTTCTTGCACACCTGCATCTTCACCTGAGTGAAGAGCCTGCCCTTGCCACAAAGAAGGGAAAAAAATCCTGGGGTGTCCCAGGTAAAGAATTGTCAAGGGAGATGATTCCTGCCTTAGGCAGCACTGCTGAGGCCACACCTGGAGTGCTGTGCCCAGAGCTGGGCTCATCACCACAAGACACACAGACATATTGCAGAGAGACAAGCAATGGGCTATGAAGATTATGAAGGGCCTGGGAGCCCCTCACATCTGGGGAAAGGCTGACAGAGCTGGAACTGCTGAGCCTGGAGAAGGCTCAGGGGAAATCTGTCAATGCCAATAAATATCTGATGGGAGGGTGGAAAGTGGATGGAGCCAGGCTCTGTTCAGTGGTGCCCAGAGACAGACACAAACTGAAACAGGAGGTTCCCCCTGCACACCAGGAGACACTTTTCCCCCGAGAGTGACTCAACACTGGCACAGGTTGCTCAGAAATGTTGTGTAGTCTCCATCCTTGGAGATATCAAAGCCATCAGGACACATTCCTGGGCAGCAGCTCTGGCTGGCTCTGCTTGAGCAAGGGCTTTGCCAAGATGACCCCCAATGTCCCTTCCAACCTGAACCCTGCTGTGACGGTGATCTCCAATCATTCATATTCTTTGTCTTCTGCCATTTCTACACTTCTCTCGCCCAGCTGCCTTTCCCCCACCTCTCTGCTCTTCTTTCTCTTCCTGGGGCTGATGTGGCAGTAAGGAAGGAGGCTGATGCAGGTGTACTCTGCCAACGGTGGCAAGAGGACAATGGAAAGTGGAATTCCCAGAAAAATCCTGCAGAGATCCAAGGCTGTGAACATCAAAATCTGCATACCCCAGCAAGGAGGAAAACCAAGAGAGCCTCAGTGCAGCAGCAGGGGTACCAGAGTCAGAGGCAGTTATTTACCACTGCAGTGACTGCAGAAGGATGTGAGCCCTTTAAAGCCCCAGGCTGGCAGTAACCAGCATTCCTCCCATCTACACCCTGAGCTCCCCCTTCCCCACCTCACAAGGCACCAAGCACAAACCATGTAATTAATCCTACCGAGATGTTCAGCTGCAATGAGAAACGAAGCACATCCTGAGGCATCCCTACTGCTGGCACCAGGCCCCACGTTGCTGCTCTGCCTTGCCACTCCTATGTGTTTTGGAGACAGGCTTGTCTCCCCACAGCAAGCCCACTGGTGCTACACACCCTGTTTGCTGGGCACAGGAGCAGAGGAGTGCAGGGGGCTCTGCAGGGACACTTTCTCCTTGCCCTCAGGATGTTTACGGCACAGAAATTTTAGCAGGAAGCCAAGCATCTGTTCTTCAAATAAAGAGGTCTCCCAGGGGGATGTGTGGGGAGGCAGAATCATCACACATGTAAACACCTGGTCTTACAGGCAGGAACAGAGTTTGAGGAAGGAGTGCAGCACTTCTGAGACTCATTCAGCCTTGCTTCCGCTGCTTAATGAGTTCAAACACCATCAATATTCAGTGGCAGCCCTCCCTTGCCAGGCTGGCTGTGCTGGTGAGGGGCTGGCACAGACATGGCAGCACAAACCCCACAGCAGGGCTCATCCTCCTGTGCTGCTGCAGCACACGTGGCCCTGGCACTGCCCTGCTCCAGAGTTCTTCCAGGACACTCAGCCTTCACACATTTCCTCTGAGAAAAGGGGCAGAGCCAAACTGTGCCACACAATGTTTGTCTGTGCTGAAAGCTGCTTCCCCTGTCCCCTAAAGTGGCCCCTTGTCAGAAAATGGTCTGCACGAGCAGTGAGCTGCACCACTCCTGTCAGACAGCCACAGGGACCACACTATGGCACCAAGACACCTCCTAAAGGCAGGAGACAAGGCTCTGTGCCTGCACACACGGCTGGGGGCTCCCAGGGCTTCCCACCCCGAGCCCACTGCCTCAATCCAAGCCTCAAACAGCTTCAGCAGCACCAAGAGGCCTTGGCTACCTCTGGCCAGGGCACTGCAAAGCCACCCAGGGCTATTTCCAGAGGCAAACAGGATCTACTGGCACTCCCAGCTTCCAACACCATCCTGTCCATGCCTCCATCCTGCCTCCTCAATAGACTCCAATCTTCTCCATGCCTACAGTCTGTACTTAACACTCACTACAGGATTGTGCATTCTCATTTATTTTGTGCCACTGCTGCAGCTCTCCTGGCTCCCTCCTCAAAGTTCTTCATCTTTGGTTCTTTTTCCATTTCCAGCATTTTCAATGCACAGTAGGATTTTTTCCTTATATGAGAGGGTGGGCAAAGGTTCTTTCTCCTTTCATTAATTATTAGTGCCCATTCAAGCGAGATGGACAGTGTTCAGCAGAGCTGTGGTGCTGCTTTAACACTGCTGCACTGCCCTACAGCAGCCCAGCCCCACCCCACCCCTCCCAAGCTTGCCCACAACTCTGCCATGTTCCAGGAGCTCCCAGACAGAGCTGGAGTTCAGGGGCATCACCTCTGTCTTAAAAAGGAAACAAGGCTGGAAGCAACAGACTACATGGTCCTACAGGTCACAAGCACAATTGGATTTCATCTTCAAGCACCATATCTGGTGCAAATCCCAGCCTGAGAATGCAATTTCCTTTACCTTGGATTTACAGGGACATGAAATCTCAGTCTGGGAGTTAAACAGCAGAAGGATTCCCAAGGTTCAGCTGTAGGAGAGTGGAAAGTGAAATGAAGGAGCAGCTGTGACACTGTTGAAGCCAGTTCATGTGCAGGAAGTGCCACTGCCCCACACCAAGCACAGAGTGTTTGGGGCTTGGAGCTCACAGCTATTGGCAGGGCAAACAGGGTGAATCCTGCTGGAAGCATCCCCAGTTATTGGAAAGCACAGCTAGGGCCAGAGCAAGTCATTCTCAGCTCCAGACTTTCTCCTTGATGCACAGAACCCCTTGGTCTGCCAGCCTGTGTGGACGTGCTGGTTCAGCAGCTTTACATGAGGAAGCTGCACCACCTGCTGTCTGCTGTGAAGCCAGTTACCAGAACGTGATCAAAGATGGTCACTAATAACCAAAGTTTTCTTCAGAACCTGTTTTTTACAGGACATGCTCTTGATTAAAGTCATCAAGAAAGACATCATATCTCAAAACTAAGAAGCAAGATCAACAAAAGGATTGATAGTCAAAATGGCTCAGGCTCTCAAACAGAATGAGAGAAGTTCACTTTAATACCCAGCTCCTGCCAGGAGAAGGACTGTACTGTTATCCCTTTGGGAAACTCTGTCAAGGTATTTCTACTCTAAAAACTACAAAAGCTACCACTGAACAAAACTTTGAAAGACGTGGAAATTCTGCCATGCAAAAAACCAGCACCTGCCCAACACCACTTGAGGCTTAGCAGCAAGGAAAATGACATCTTAAATGCTGCTATTCCCCCTTCCTGGACTGCAGCACTCCCTGATCCAATCAAATGGGGCAAAGAGAGAAGAGTCTTACAAAAAGCCACACTGCTAAAAGTTCTCTTAGGATATGGTGCATCAAGGCAGAACAGTCAGTAAGTTCTCTTGGCTGGCATAAATATGAGAGGCTGCAGAACATCTCCTTAATTCTAGAGATCAATGACAGCTGGGCAAACGTGTTGTGTGCCAGGCCTTATGGACATGCAGTAGCAAGGTCAGTGGAGGACTAAAAGCAAAGGAGCTGAGAAGACAAATGACCTCTGCTTGATGAAGCTTAGGTACAGAATGTACAGACAAAAGCAAATGAGAAAAAGAGTTTATTTAAAAAACAAAAAATCCCCCTCTCAAAACCCCACATACTTTCTGATAAGCTTATTGCTCAAGTTAGATCTCCTGTGACACTGCTCATTCTCCTCTTGGCCTGCAGCACCAGAAGTCCTCTTGCATCCCTGTCTTCACTCCAACCTACATCATCTGGAAATGTTCATCATTTTCAACTGGTCCCAAATATCAGCATTCAATTCTCTCCTTACTGTGCACACAGAACATGGAGGTCCCCAGGCACAAAAGGTCCTCGCTGGGACAACTCTAGGGATTTATTCAGTGATCCCACCAGGATGGGAGTTCCTAATTTGCAGAAACATTAAAAAAGAAAATGGAAGGTGTAGCTACCTTCTCCTTTGAAATCAAAACCTAAACAGCAGTAAAATGTCTGCAGTCCAGACATGCCCATGTTCATTCTACAGCTCATGGTCTGCATTGTCAGTAAACAGCTTTCAGGATCCCCTAATGGACTTTTCATAGCTTTTCCCTGTCTCACCTCACCATTCTACACACACTGAACCAGGGCTTGTTCTCCAAGTTCCTGTGAAAGGAATGTTGCCTTTTCTTGTGCAGCATCTACAGATCCACACTGCAGCAGAACAGCAGAATTCTCTCAGCGGGCCCTGGCTCTGCTTTGGGTGGTCACAGAGACTTTTGGACCTTCCTCCTGGATAGCTGTCAGGCAGGTTAGGTAAGAACAGAGCAGATGGCTTTGTGCTTCATGTTCAGTCAGTGCTGCTGTGGGGTTTCAACAACCTCCTCCTCTTCCTCAGCCTGCTCGGGGTGGCGCAGCAGCAGCTGCAGGTCAGGGTCAGAGCTGCCCTCTTTGTGTGGCTCCAGTGCTTTGTCACCTGCATGCACACAGCCCATTCAGTGACAAACCTGCTGGATTCCCACCAAACCTGGTGCTGTCAACCAGCTGGAACCAGACACAGCTCCTAGTGAAGCAATGAGAAAGCCTACAGAGAAAGAGAAAGGGATTTAAAACAATCACCTTTGGAATTCATGGCTTTGAGAACAACGTGGAGGGAGATTCCCAACAGGCAGACAGCAAAGCCCAGCCAGTTCAAGAGACTGAGGCGGTCTCCCAGTAAATGTGTGGCCAGGAATAAAATGCAGATTTCCTGTGGAAATAAAAAAAACATGACAAGTAGCGGGGCAGGGCCTGAGGAGATATGCATGGTACATTTTTCAGCTGAAGCCTAGATCAAGATGTCAGGCTGCTAAATTTCTATCAGCACATTCTTTCATGCGCGCAGAGTTCTAAAAACAGTTTCTAGAAACAAACAACCTGTCAAACCAGGATGTGGGATTTTAAGTCATCTGACTGCATAGCTCAGTTACAGAGGAATCCTTCAACTTCTGGATCAGAGAGATTTCATATATCACAGTTCAGCTCAAAAGTAAGTGTGCTGCACTCCTCTGGGGAGGATGTGCCAAACTAGGCTACAGAGACAGCTCAAAGCAGTGGTTTGGTCATATGCAGGTCTGATGCAAGAGCTTGCCCTCCTCTCTTCCACACCATCTGCTGTTCATGAGGGCAATGTGTTTTAGTCTATCCCACATTCCAACAAACTTTGATCATTCGTGGTATTTTTTATAGCACAGCCAACTAGTCTCTGGCCCTTTGCTGTCAGGGACCAAGAGACTTCACTGCAGAGACTGCAAGGCAAAGCATCAAGCTCCTGTGCAAGGAGAGCAAAAAGAACAAGCAAAAATTTCTAAGAATCTAAGCAAGCTCCCAGCACATAAAGCCCAATAGGGATGACTCAGTACTTGCCTTCTAGTATTAGCACAGGAACCATGCCTTACCTTAAAAATGCCAGCAATGGAAAGGGTGAGGCTAGATGTTCTGGAAACCAAGAGGAACTCAGAAAAGCCTAGACCAAAGGCAAGAATTCCACCCAAGAACAGCTTCCCTACCAGAGAGAACAGCATTCCTGCTTCATGGAAACGGGAGAGCTTCTCTGATATGGACAAAGGAAGGCCTAGGAAGAAGACAATGAGTAGCAGAATACCATTCCCAACTCCCAGGATTCCTCTTAATAAGACTGAATGGGTGGGCTGCTCACATTCCAGTATGAAGAGGATGTGGAGCCAGCTCTTCACAGCCCTTACTTCCACAAGTGTGGCAGGCTACTACTTCTATGCACTCTTAAATGTTCTGCCAGCACAAGATAAATCCAGGTCTCTAATTACTTTGCAGAGTTGATAGTTGTTCACTTATCTAAGTGAATTATCTCCAACAACAAACTGCTAAGCAATCTCCCAACCACTCTATAAAGCTCTCCCTGCTTTCTCTAATGAACTCACGCACCCTCGAACACGGCAAAGAGTGGGAGGAGCCCCAGGAACATGAGCGGCTGCAGGTGAAACATGATATCAATGGGATTCTGGAGCCCTGAAAGAGGAGAATCAATAAGAGAGCAGGCAGAAACAAGCCAGGGAATAACACAGGTCCCAGAGCCTTCATTAGCACCATTCCTAGACAAACACCTTATTTGTGATGCCCACACCTGTGCTGCTGCAGACACCCAGCCACCTTCATTACCCACCAACAGATACCCATGCCCAAGGTTTCAAACCCCTCCCATGAGATGTTTAGTTTCTGCAGCAAGGGCAATCACCTCTGCTTATTCCCCTCCCTGTCAGCAGCACCACCACCCCCTCCTGGCACCCCACATACCCAGTTCAGCCTTCTGCATCAGGATCTGTGTGAGAGTCCAGCGAATGCCCCCCAGGAAGGAGGCACAGAGCACCAGCACAAACCCCTGAGCGTTGAACTGTGTGGACTTGTAGGTGAACATGAAGAGTCCCCCAGCAATGAGCAGAACCACCAGCAGCAATGTCACCCTCTGCAGGAGAGCAAACACAACAGGGACAGGCATCTCCTTCCTTCCAGATTCACCCACATAGTGCAGCATTCCTCTCCTCACATGTTTCTTGTACATGCACTGCCTGTTTCCCTGGGTCTGACCTCCCTCCCTAAAGCATTGTGTGGGACTCTTACCATTTCCTCCAGCTTGAAGAGCAGTGAAAAAAGCAGGATGAAGAGAATGGCAGAGGATTTGGTCATTGTGTAGCTGTAAGAACCAAAATACACTGTCAGACTCCTTCAATGTAGCTCTTCCCATCACAGTACTATTAGGAACCATCACCCATTTCTACACTGCCACCAGCAAGCTATCACAGATCCTGCATGCTGACCCCACTAACCAAACACCTCTCCAAGGAACAGACCCTGGCAAAGCACTCTCCAGACCCCACCAGAGGCTCCCAGGGAATGAGGTGTTTGTACTCACAGGGAGACAGTGACATACAGGAAGCTCCAGTTACTCAGCCCAATATCCAAGGAAGTTGACAGAGCTAAAGAATCAATGAAAAAATCCTGAAATTAACTGAACTCTGTGACATGAAACAAACCCATCACAAAACCCTGCTTCATGGCCACAGATAGCAGAGCAGACCCAGGGGAAAAAATAAACTTTCCTCAAGTTAGTTCTTCAGAACCACCATAACTCAGATATTCTCAGCTCTTCATGTTTCTGTCCTGTTCCCTGTGACTCAAGTTGGGCTCAGCATTGCACTTGTTCAACATGCATTACAAAAAAGCCAGAAATAACTCTTGCCCTCCCTGTGACTGAAAGTGATTGCAGATTTGCATAAAGTCTTTCTTGACTGTATCAGAACATGATAACTTGTAAGTCTGATGGCCACTGCAGGAAGCCTGAAAAAGCAAGAATTATCTGCACACAGCCTTAACCCTGGTGCAGCTTTTGGTACAGTCTATTCTCCCTTCTATCTAAGTTTCCTACCACAGGAAACAGTGTTACTGATCCAAGGGCAGGCCATGCTGAAAGGTCAAATTGCTGCAGATGTGGAGAAAGCTTTTTTCAAGAAACCATGGGGCTATTTATGTAAGGTACTGCAAACCTTGCCAGAGATCATAGACCAGATGCTGTTCTGTGGGAGCCAATACAACACCCAGCCAAATAACTGCAGAAGTAGTTACAGTTCTGTGCTCCAAGTAGGAGCTTCACTTCTTGGTCTCAGATAGTTTTGTGTGCCATGAATGATGAATTCTCTACCAAGCTCCACCCTGAGAAAGATGCAACACATGGCTTGATACCAGCGTTAAAGAGAAAATGTTACTTGCAGACACAACTCATCAAGGCACTGCAGAAGGTTCTCTGTGTCAGTGACTCCTTCAGAAAGATTCATTCTGCGTGGCCTCTTCCTATCCTTTTATATATCTCTGTAATGAGCAATGAAGGTGGCATGTCTCAGGCTGAACCTTTAGGTAGCATCTACACCTGCCCTACACCTGGTAGGAAAACACAGGGGCCGGAGCAATGGCTGGACCCCACAGCTCACCCTGTGCCAGGGGACTGGCCCTGACCACCCCAGGCAAAGGGCTCTGGAAGCAGCCAGAGTGCCACAGGCAGCCCTGAGCATTCTGAGTCACAGAATATGCTGAGTTGGGAGGAACCCACCAGGATCATTGAGTCCAACTCCTGGCCCTGCAGAGACAGCCCAAGAATCCCACCCTGTGCCTGAGAGTGTTGTGCAAATACTTCTTGGACTCATTCAGTCTTGGTGCCATGACCACCCCCCTGGGGAGCCTGTTCTAGTGCTCAACCACCTCTGGGTGAAAACCTTTCCCTAATATCCAACCTAAACCTCCCCTGATTCACCTTCATATGTCTTCTTGGATCCTGTCACTGGTTATGAGTGTGAAGAGATCAGTGCCTGCCCCTCTGCTTCCTCTCGTGAGGATGCTGAAGACCACAATAAGCTCTCCCCTAAGCCTCCACTTCTCCATACTGAACACACCAAGTGACCTCAGCCGCTCCTCACAAGGCTTCCCCTCCACTCCATCACCATCCTCGTGGCTCTCCTGGATCTTTCGCACATTGCCGTGCCCCAAAGCTGTGTCCCGCTCCCGCTCCGCCGCCCTCTCCCGTGCCCGGCCGTACCTGCGGGGGCGGCCCGGCGGAGGCAGTCGGCCCAGGACAGCGCTGCCCGCGGCCGCCCGGAGCGGCAGCGCTCCAGGGCGCGGGCGAGCGCCGCCAGAACGAAGATGAGCAGCAGGTGCAGCAGCGTGACCAGCAGCGGGAACGGGAAGCTCTGCGGGACCGACAGCCGCTGTCACCGCCGCCGCCCTCCCGCCGCCGCCGCCCCGCACCGCCCCGCCACCCCGCACCTTCATCAGCCACTTGTTGTAGAAGGTGATGCCGATGGAGAAGCCGTAGTAGAGCAGCACCAGCGGCGCCGCCAGCGCCGCCCGCGCCAGGGCCGCGCCACCCGCCCCCGCCGCCATGCGCCCGGCAGCGGCAGGAGCAGGAGGGAGCGGAGATGGGCACGGGGCCGCGGGGACGGGGCCGCGGCAGGGCAGGGCAGGGCAGGGCAGGGGCCGCGATGCTGAGCGGGCCGGGGCGGCGGGGGGAGAAGCGGGCCCGGCGGTGACGTTGGCCGGCGGGGCGGGGGAACGAGCGGCGGTGGCGGAGCGGGGCGGGCGCGCAGCGGTGACGCTCCGCGCAGGGCGGAAAGAGGCGGAGGCGGCGGCGGCCAGGAGCGCTACTGGTTATTATTGGAACCGATACAAAAGGCGGGCGGCGCCGGGACCCCCGGGCCGAGCCCGCGGCACGGCAGCGAGCGGCGGCCCCGGCCGCACGGCCCGGCGGGCCCGGGGCCCTCAGCCGTAGTGGTACACGAAGTCGTAGCTGCTCGGCTCCTTGGGGATCGGCGGCGGCGCTTCGGGGATCTGGATGTTCTCCAAGTCCAGGAGCCTCAGCTTCATTTCCATGCTCAGCAGAGTGTCCAGGTCGCTCTTGGTCAGCTCACTGGACATGTCCTTCCCCAAGAGGGCGTTCAGCCCATCAATCCAGATACAGTACTGTGGGAAAGAAGGGGTCATTCACGACTCGGCATAAATGACACCTTATGTCCAATCTTTCTGTCCATGCAAAAATTAGAGAACTTTAAGACAGAAAACACTGGAGGGAGTTAATATGTAGGGAAAAATCCCACTCTCAGTGGAATTTTTGGAATCCCAAGTGGGGTGCCCACTTCCATTTCCACTGGAAGTTAAAAGCCTACAGGAAAGTGTGAGCCCATGGTTGTACTAGAAGGACAAGAGTTTCTACTGTGGGACAACAAACGAAAAAAGTAAACATATTCTAGGCATCATAGGAAGGAAAAAGTAGCAGTCCAGACTAGGGGGAATTACTGTGGAAATTTTTTTTTCCTTTTTAAAGATTTTTTTCATCCCTTTGTTTTCCCTATAACTAAGGGAAAACAAAGGTGGTTCATATAAAGCATCAGCAACATATTCTAGGAATGAACCTGGGGAGAGACAGCCTGCTCGAGTCTCTAATGAGAAGCAACCAATCCTTCTTAATCTCTGAAGTTAATTACTATATATTCTACTGCTTAACCACTACATTTCTTACCTCATATTTATTAGGTGCAATGAAGTTCAAGGTCTCGTCGGGATCGTATAATATGGAGAAGGCCAATTCTAACACTTCCTAAATGGAAAAGAATCTTTCACTCACCAGCTGAACAGGACATTACAGCACCTTCTGCCTGCCACTCTGAGAGAGCTGCCTTGCTGCAGCTCAGTACACTTTCTCACACTGGTATTGTGAGCAATTCTGAAGAGACTACAGCACAATTATGCTTACAGCCCCTTGCAGTCACAAAGGAACACCAGAAAAGGGCTCAGACAGGAGTTGGGGTTTGTACACAACACATTTGCAGTGGGGGAGATCATTCATTCCTCTTGCTTGCTTTCAATCTCAAACTCTACAGCATTAGATATTAATGAGAGTGAAAAGGGAGCACTTGCCTTATTCTGTTTCAGTGCACTTTTCTCCTTCATGTGCGGACAATCCTTCCCTGTGACAATGGCTTTGATGTCTGCAACTGGAACTAACAGTGAAAAAGTAAAACTCCCAAACAAGCAATTCTAACCAGGAAAATACAGAACTTTGTTTTGTCTTTGCAACTGAACACTGTTTGGTTTTTTAGCTCATTAGTGCAGTTTTCCAAAACACATTACCAGTAAGACATCCCTGCAGCTGACTTTTAAAAAGGAGCTATCAAGTAATTCCAAGATTTGAAGAATTTGGGCAAGGACCAAAAATTGGTATCTCCTTAGTCAGGGCTTCAGCCTTGTGTCTTTCATCTTTATCTAGGATTATATTCAGCCTCTAGACAGCAGAGCAGAGAAGAGTGCACAGCCTGTAATCAGGACTTACTTTTTTCCTGTAAAGATTCAAAGGTCACTTCCCCCTGGGCATTATCTTCCAGGTCTCCATAGTGTAGCACCTTGTGATTCAGAGCCAGGCGACAATACCAGAACCTTTCTGGAACACACACCAAGAGTAAGCTGAGCAAGATCATTCACATAAGGTCTCACAGCCACTATGTTACAGCCTCTCCACCCAGTCCATCTGCTTGCCCAGCTCCTCAGCACAGCTTCTTATTCATGAGGGGATGGCTGTATTCTTAGAAACGCACATTTGTGCCATTCCAAACTACTGGCTGATATGGACAGACAAGTAACCAGCTTTTCTTTCTGGCAACATGCCTCCTGACATATTAATTAATTAGATCTTTTTTGCTACAGTTCTTCACATGACAAAATACAGCAGACACTGTCCCCTTACCTTGTCTTCTGCGATTTCCAATTTTCCTAAAGCTACTTCCCTCACAAAGCCTGTTCAGGCGCTGCTGCTTTATCAGCTCCAAGATCTCAGGTTGGATTTTCTCTCTCAGCTCCCTGGCATTTAAATATGGAAGAGTAAGCAGAAAATGAAGATAATGGCAGGGATAGAAGGTAACTGTTTTTGTTAGGCACGTACACAATAGGTGGGGACTGGAAGTCATCTTGGCTCATTCTCTCAGACTGGCGTAGCCGCAGAATCTCAGAATAGCTCAGGCTGCGCAGTTTGCTCTTGAACTGGTCCAAGGAGTTTGGTTTAGAGGGCAGAGCCCTTGTGATCTGTTCCCTAACAACCTGCATAACCTAAAGAGGTGGGACAGGAAGAAAAACAAGTCACGTTCTTGTTGGCAGCAGAGAATCAGGGCACAGCTCAGGAGCAGCAAAGAACTGACATGGGATAACCAGGGCCAGGAGTATCAGGATACTCGTGACTTTGAAGATCCAGAAGAACCAAGAAAGACCTCAAGGCATTCCAAATAAAAGTCATCCTCCCCTACAACCCATACCAATTCCCTGTCACATCATCTGTGCCATACTACTTAACCAAATATACAGACTGAGTGAATATGTGCTGATCTGCAAAAGATTTTACAAAAATATCTCTTCTCCACCCTGACCTTATTAAAATCTTCTGCTGTCGCCCTCATTTCTTTCCAGGTCTTGTTCAACAGCTGGATACAAATGGCAAACAGTTCCTCAAATGCACGGTCATGGGTGAAAAACATGGGGTGATAGTCATTTCTGCCTTCATTGGCTTCAGAAAGAAACAAACCACAGCCATGTGAGCATATTGGACACAAGGTACTAGGAGTAACTAAAGTCCACTACAGTGACAGACAACTGATGGTGTGCAATAGTATTTACTCCAAGAGATTAAGACAGTTCAATAATTTGTCGCTCTACAGATAGTTTATTGACAACAGCAATTCTCCCCACACTTCACCATGCAAACCTCTGTGACTCATGCCCTTTTCATCCTGGTCCCCCAAAATAACTGCTTGCAGTGTTTCCCACCTTCCTCTGGTGGAATTCCTTACAGTGGTTAATTTTCTCAGAATGCTGTTTTGAAACTGTCAGAGCTAACAAACTTTTCCCAAGTTCATGATGGTTTCAAGACTTTTTTTTTTTATACAGGAGCCTCCTGAAGCTCTGAGAAGTTGAAGCTTTCTGCATGTATCAGTTTTTCAGGAGAACCAGAGTGCACACACCAAAATTTCTTACTTTATTTTGATAATGATATTATCACTCAGACATCAACTGTGCTAACTCCAAGCTCGTACTTTCCTTACATGGCAGAAGTGAGATGAAGGTACAAATGCTTGTGAATGTTCTAGAAGCATCAGCCCAGCAGCCTGTGAAGCTGGGTAAGAAATGGTACTTACGGAGTTCCCCAACTTGCAGGATCTCACAAAGCATCCGGGTGAGCTCAATGGCACTGCGCCCAAAGGGACACTCATGTTTATCTTCTCGGCTGCTGTTCTCCAGAACAATCTACAACAACAGGATGCCAAATACACTAAGAAGAGCTGCTGAGGTGTTGACATCTGTAAAAATTGGCAGCTTCACATACCCTGATATAGGTGTCCTGGTGAAATTTGGCCAAGTAAAGCATGTTGTCCAATGCCAGCATCCCAGGGGGAGTCTGTGTAAAATCCATGGCTGGATTGATGTGATTCTGAGAAAAGAGTGTGTAGAAAGAATCCAGACAAATTAGTTCAAAGAAATTGTGTGAGAACCTTTTCTGAATGAATTATAAACCACCTGTCCATCAAGCACTGCCTCACATCTATCCAAGAGGTAACCCAGAACACCTCCTGACAATGCTATCTGAACTTTCTAGAGCAGAGGCTGGTTCCAAGTTCTTCATAGCATATATGGTAAGGAAATACCTCCAGAGAATGCCTAATGAACCCTTGCATTTAACCCATCAGCAAATTCATAATGATCTTCCCCAGGAGTGTGAGTGAAACTGAATCTCTAAACTCAGATACCAAAATAAGGTAAAAAACCAGCTATTTTTGTTCCTTATTTCCCCACAACTCCTATGGAAATTGCTCAGACTGCCTTGACAAGGTTTATAGTCAGATGCATACAGTGAATCCCAGCATCTTGTAGTCCTTGGTGTACATGGCTTTGCGTTTCTCTGTTCCGCTGCCAGGGACGGTGTTGCTGTCAGACTCTGCATCAAATGCAATTCTTCTCAACTCAAATATGATGTCTCTCTGTGTCTGAAGGACAGAAGGCAGGGAAATGGTGACGTGATCAATCACTGCAGCAGGATTTTCACATATTGCACACTCCTGCATCTCTCCTCAGAGCTCACACAATGAACACAGAGAAATGCCAAGGGTCATAAGCACTATGCACACAAAGAGGCAATCCATTTCAAAATGGCAAGTTTCAGTACAGTAGGTAAAGCAAAATATTTGTTTGCACTTTTCTTTAACTGCAAGTTTAGTTACAGGCAAATTCTAGGCATTCAGATAATGCTATGGCATTTCTCCTTAAAAACTGTAATACAGCTGAGTAACAGACACCTGAAAAATGACCAGTTTTCCTCCTAGACTGCAAGCAAATGGATAAAATGGTGT